AACCTCTTAACCACATTAACTGAAATCATGGGCAAAGACAACTAAATGGGGATATTAGCTATGGCACTTTTAATAAGAGTCAATTTATCACCTTTAGAGAGTAAGCTGCCCGTCCAACTTTCCAAACGAGACTCAACATTGCTCATCACTAGATCCCATGACGAGGTATTCTTGAATTTCGCACCAAGAAGCAATCCAAAATATTTAATTAAAAGGCTCTAAATTCTACATCTCAAAATAGTTGCCAAATTGCTTGCTTCCCTATTTACACCAAAGTTGACTTGCTCAAATTTTGCCATATTAATATTCAAACCTGAAACTATTTAAGAACATAACAAAACATACATGATATTCATAAAATCTTTATGGTTTAGCTCATAAATAGGTGAGTGTCATTAACAAAAAATAAGTATGTCACCTTCACCTCTTTCCAGCTATTTTCACCTTCAAGCTTCTGAAAAGCTTCAGGTCCTTGGCTTTGGTGTGCAATTTATTACAAGTCTCCATGACTTATGATGAATAACAAAGTGGAGAACTTACGGGGTCCTGATTGATATGGTGATAGACTTATAAAGATTTGTAGATGGTTTAGGTAAGCTCTTAGGGTGGTTGATATCGGGCCAAATGTAGAAAACAAAGAAGAGGGTTTCTTAAAAGTGTCGGACATTTGTTGTTCTTTGGGCAGGACTGGTGCTGTCGCACTAAGCGGCTGTGACATTAAAGTGACATTACATTTTGTTAGAGGGTGAAGGAGGTGAATATGCAACAATGTAGAGGAGGTTTTTAGTGGTGGAAAATAAATCTTTTGTTGTTTGTAAAGGAAGGCATGCTAAAGGAGTTCGACTAAGCGAGGACAATTAGGGCTATTGAATATCAATCTCCTACAACAAGGAGGACAAGCAATGGTTGTTGGAGGCTTTGAAGTACTTTTATTGGTCAAAGGGAGGCGGTTATGGGGGAGAAGCAGGAAGGGGAGACAAACGCACTTTGTAGGTGGCGTTAGGGCACAAAAGGAGGGTTCGATTCTTGGTGCTTTTAAAGGAGGAGAGAGGTGGTTCGCCAACTTTGTGCCAAAAGGAAGAGGGGCAGTGGGATGGTGGAGCATGATGGTGGCGGTGGTGGACGTAGTTGGATGAAAATGGGAGCTGATGAACAAGGGTGTGCAGCTGACTTGCGAGCAGGTGAGTGAGGGCAGATCGAGTGTGGACAAGGTGCACGAGCTTCCATGGCTCTATTGCTCGAGTTGTTGGATGGAGCTTAGGATACAGGTTGAAGAGGTGAAGAAGAAAAGTTTTGTGGAGGTGGTTTGCGGATTTGCAAAGGAGAACGATTGGGTGAGGAAGAT